GGAGTTCAGACACTCCACCTAGCCACTGGGTGGTGATCTTGCAGATGGTTCTTGCAAGGGTAGCAGCCCTTATCTACCTTGATGCCCACAACACCACCCTTGGATTTGATAACTTGGAGAAAGGGATATCCATCATTTGCTTTTTGGCAAACTGTCTCATGGAAGAGGATCGCCTCATACCTCTAATGCAGAGTTTCACATGGTCATCAGTGGCTAGCCCTTTCCATAGTGGAAAAGGTCAATTTTATGGACCCTTATCCTAGCATTTGTCATCAGAATGGTATTGTGCCCCTTGTGGAGCCCCAAATCCTCCCTGATCAGGGCCATGATTTAAAACACTGTTAGTATGTAACTGAGAAGGTACTGACTGTTGTATACAAGACTGTGAGAAACAACCACATCTACCTGGGAGGCAACTTGCTGAATCCCAACATAGTTATCCTAGGTAATTCTTGCACCCAGAAGTTTTTGAAGGAGGAAATTGCTATGCAAACTGCAATGGCACTGTATCACACACTTCCCCATGCTTCCCTGTGGTCACTTTCCTATTGGAGGGCAGGGTGAGAAAGAGGCATCCATCAACCTCAATGCTACCAACAATTGCCCCTGCTGAAGCTGTAGAACTTAACTCTCCTATGACCTAGTCCTGCAAGCCTCTTCCCTAAAGGCTAGGGGCAGGAAGAAAGCATCAAACATGCCCTGGTTAACAGCCTCACTTATCAAGGAAAGTAAACCCTGTGATCAAGCTGAGGCCACAGTGACTGAGTCCTTCTTTGTTTCTAATCATGCCTAATAAGCTGTTATGTCTTCCCCTTCATCACTCCAAGCCCCTACCTACCCACTTTCTCTTGAAGAAGGGGCCTCTAGGATGTTTCTCATCACTCTTGCGATCATAATGACATTGGTGTATGAGGTTGTCTTAGAATGGTAAGTCTGTCATGCTTTCCAGTCCACTGCCAACAAACAAGTGTTTAAGAGGGGAAAAAAAGATAATGCTGAATGGATTACCATATCAAATTTCAATTTATATTACAGAGCTATGGTAATAAAAACAGTAAGGTACAGGCACACAGACATGTAGAACAAGGGATCAGACCCAACTGATATTTGACAAAGACTCCAATAGTGTACACTGTGGGAAAGTTCACATATGTTAAATGATGCTGGAAAAACTGATTGTCTGCATACAGAAGAAAATGATTAGGCCCTTGCCTATCACCCTTCAGCAAAATTCACTCCAAGTGAATCTAAGACCTCAGTTTGAAACCTGAGATGCTGACACTGATATGGAGTTTGAAAACACTAGGAAAATGACCACCAGACTCAATTCAAATTTTAGTTGGTTAAATTTATCATGGCTAGAGCCGCCCATGGTTCCTTAGTCAGATTTAGGACCCATGGCTCAGAGGGGAGGGTGGAACTATATTTTAAAGGCAAAAACCATAAATAACATAGGAATTTCATCACACATGAGTAATACCAGGTGGTCCTGAATATGGTCAGGACACCCAAGTTAGCTGATAAGTAAAATACAGAAGCCAAAGCAAGCTTGTGTTAGTTCTTTTCTTAACGAGGAATAGAGACCTTGGCCAAAAGACACTTTCTGATTAAGTGACTGTGTCTGGGAAACCGAAGTTCAGTTACTCCAAAGAAAACACTCTTCTAAGGGGAAGCAACTTAGTTCAGGCACTTAACCTTGAAGCTGGCTATTTTTCTAACTTTTTTTCTAATTTAAAGTGGCTGCTTTATAGAAAATGAAGTTACTTTGACTATTACAATTTGGGGGCTTCCATTTCTGGCCATAGCAACCTGCTAGAAGAGAACAAGGGAATACCGTACAAGATACACATGCATGAAAGGACTTTCTGAAAAGGACCCCATTCTCTCACAATTTAAAAGCAAATATAGGCAAATAGGAACTCATTAACTTTATATATTTCAATACAGCAAAGAAACACAATTGAATGAAAGAGAAGCCATTATAGTGAGAGACAATCTTTGCCAGCTATATGTCTGTTATAGGATTAATATACAGTATATACAAAGAACTCCTAACAAAAGAAGCAAAAATCAAATGACCCAATTAAAAACATCAGTACAAAGTTCTCAAAGATGAAAAAAATGCTAAGGAATATCTTTAAAAGTCTTTAACATCCTTAGCAATTAGGAAAATGTAATTTAAAGTTATTTGAAATTTCATCTTACCCCAGTTAAAATGGAAAAGATCAAGAAAAAAACCTGGCAACAAATGCTGGTGATTTTGACAGGAAAGCAGAATCCTCATTCACTGTTGGTATGACTGCAAATTGATAAGCCACTGTGGAAATCAGTGTGGAGGATTCTCCAAAAACTATAAGCAGGTCTATCACATGTCTCAGCATGCTGTATACCTAAAGGACATGGCAACCTACGACAGGAATACTTGGTCAGCCATGTTCATTGATGCTCTGATCACTAAAGGCAGAAAATGGAAACAACCTAAATATCCTTCAACTGATGTACAGATTGTGAAATTGTCAAACACAAACATTAATGGAATTACATTCATCTGTAAAGAAAGGTGAAATCCCGAAATTTGTAGATGAATGAATGTAATCAGAACATGTAGTAAGTTAGGTAACCCAGACCCAGGAAAATGCCACATGGTGTCCTTGTGGATCCTGAAGATTTGATTATGTAAGCTGAATTAACAAAGCCAGGAAACTAGAAAGTGACTCTGGGGGACCTAGGAAAAGGAGCTTTGGGGGGGGGGAATAGGATGAAGGAGCAAAGAAGAAAAGCTTGTGAGGGGGTTTTAACAACAGAAATGAGATAGAAGAAGGATCAATAAACAACACTAAGGATGTTTGAGAAAGCCATGAGGAAGCATTTTTAATAAGCTTACTTAAAAATACATGCAGCATATATGAGAATATGTACATATAGATTTATTCAGTTTACATGGAATTATGCCCCACAGACTGATAATATTCACAACCCCAACAGTCACTAAGTATAAGAAAAAAAATAGGAAACTTCACTTAGTTATTTTTTGGGGGTGGGGGGCATAAGAGATTCCCAAAACATATAGACTATTGTCTTTAACCTTACTTCTCTCTCAGAACTTGAACATAAAACCCTGAGTTTGGAGCCAGGATATATTTCAGATATAGGACTTGAAAAAATGAATTTGAATCTGACTTGGGAGATTCCTTCCTGAGGACTAGTTCTCACAACAGCAAAAGTTGCTATGCAAGCTGCTGAAGGAGAAACAAATCAATAGTTCTACTTAGCTGTAAAACTTATGAACCACAATGATGACCCACCCAGCAAGATATCTCAATGGTGAAACAGTGGCACCTTTATTGTACAGATAAACATCAGGTATGTAATTGGATTTAAAGTTCACTCAAAAGGAGGGAATTCATGTCTGGTTCAGTAAACCTAGTCAACTACCACCTAATGGAGAGGTCACAGACCCTAGAGAAGAACTTTGTACTGCCAATTTCCAAAGCCAGTATACTGTCTAACTGTATGTTATTTTAAATAGTCATCCTTATACACAGAAATTAGTCTATCTCTTGTCCCTCATAAAAGAAGCTTTTTATTTTCAAAAGATGTTAGAGACTCACAATTGTTCAAAATGTAAAGAATAAGTGATCTTGGTGCACCCAACCCCAGCTACTGCATCTGAAACCCAATCTTTGGGTCTATGACTTAGAAGAAGGGGACACAGAAATATTGTAACATCCAGAAGACAAAGTTGCCTTCTGTAAGGAAGTGTTTTCTAGATATGACAGGGAAAATGCATCAAGTAAATGTTTACAATATGGTTCCTTAAGCAACACCTGAAGAATAACAGCACAAGCTAACATGCCAAGGTGGATGGGTAAATTTTCACAACATTCAACCTCTAGATCAAGAGCTACAGCAATCAATTTCTATGAGAAAGACAGAAACAGTTTTCACTAGGGACCAGCCCCCTGATGGATTATCCAATCCCAGTGGTCAGCCCCAAACACATGCACATATATATAAGCAAGGATAACTGACCTTATTACATTGCACACACACAC